ATAAGATCATCCGCAAAGCAAAGGTGTGTCAATTGTACCTTGGCACATTTCGGGTGGTATGCAATCTGACCTTCTACAGCAGCCTTATTTATCATTCTAGATAATACCTCCATGCAAATAACAAAAATGTAGGGGGACAGGGGGTCACCTTGCCTGACGCCTTTTTTCCCAGGGAAATAACCTGCTAAATTTCCATTGAACACCACAGAAAACATGGGAGTTGTAATACATGCCCTTAGCCACTTAATAAATTGAGCAGGAAACCCCAAGGCTATTAATACTTGGAAAATAAACTCCCAATGTATGGAGTCAAATGCTTTCATCAAGTCAATTTTGAGTGCACATCTTGGGCTGAGATGCTGCCTGTGATAATGTTTCACAATCTCCTGTGCCAGGATCACATTCTCCACCATTAGTCTCCCTTCAACAAAAGCACACTGATTTCTACTAATAAAGAGGCTCAAACATTTCTTTAGTCTTTCTGCAAGAATTTTTGTAATGAACTTGTAAACCAAGTTGCAGCATGATATTGGTCGATATTCTGTCATCTTTGTAGGATTAGGAATTTTAGGGACTAAAGTTATAAGTGTAGAATTCATCTCCTTCAAAATTTTCCCACTGTCAAAGAATTCCTGTATAGCTTTTGTCACCAACTCTCCCACTACAGGCCAAGCAGCTATATAGAACTCTGAAGTATACCCATCAGGGCCAGGCGCCTTGTTGCTTGGGCTATGAAAGATAATACCCTTAATTTCTTCTGCAGCAATAGGTTGGATGAGCATATCACAAACTGCACTTGGAAGTTGAAAGTCAAGAAGATCCTTAAGCCAGTCACTATCTGCAATTTTACAATTAGTATCGACAGCTCCTAAGAGGTTTTGATAAAATTGCACTGCCTCGCTTTCCATTTCAGGTAAACTAGTTAGCTCCCTACCCTCAAGAGTATACAATGATTTTATTGTACTGTGACTTCTTCTCACCTTAACCATTTTATGGAAATAAGTGGTGTTATTGTCACCCTCCTGTAACCACTTAACTCTTGATTTTTGTTTGAAAAAAGATTCCTCTGCTAGTTGCAAATCAGCCACTTTTTGTGCCTGTTCATGCACAACCTGAGCCATATCCTCATTTGGGCTAGCTAGGAGATCACTCTGAATAAGATGCAATCTATCCCTTTCTTGTTGAAGCCGGTACTGTATATCACCATAACTCTTCTTGTTAAGCTTTTTCAGAACAGGTTTTAGAGCTTTCAACTTCTTGCAGAGCTGAAACATATAGCATCCAGTCACCTGAGTGGAGTCCCATGTCTGCTTTACAAGTGCCAAGAATTCCTCATGCTTAGCCCAAAAGTTAAAGAACTTAAAAGGCTTTCTTCTTGTGCTAACCAATGGCAAAGATATTTCAACACACCCTGCACAATGATCAGAGCAACCAGGAGGTAAATATTCTGCTTTTGAATTTGTAAATGCATCTAGCCATGCTTCATTCACCATGAGTCTATCCAATTTTTCAGAGAGCTTCTTATTTGTCCAAGTGTAAAAGGAGCCCGTGGATGTCAAGTCATGTAATTCAGCCTCATTTAATTGATTATGAAAGAACTATGAACTCTTGGATATAGAAGTCAAAGTTTGCCAATCAGATCTTTCAATCAATGATCTAGTTTCATTAAAATCACCCCCCACTAGCCAAGGGACGTTTGGGAGTGCCTGACTTATGAGAACCAGTTCCTTCCACAAAGTTTGCCTTACACTATCATCATATGGATCAGCATATATGGCACTTAGGAAAAAATATTGACCTGTCAAAGTGTCCAGTACATGGCAATGAATGGCTTGGAAATTCATATTGGAGATAGTAATTCTGATATGTGGATTGTGAAGCAACCAAATCCTGCCTAGCCTTGCATGTTCATAGTTACAGTGCACTACCCAACTTGGAAGAAGGAAACTAGAGATATCCAGAAACTTTGGCTGCTGAACTCGAGTTTCTAAGAGAACAACAATGTCAGCATTATACTGTAACAAATATCTCTTTAGGCATTTTTGTTTACTAGGCATATTAATGCCCCTCACATTCCAGAAAAGAATTTTCATTTTGGTTTAGAGGCAGACACCTCACTTGAGGAGTTAGAACTCTTCTTTGACTGCTTCTGTCTAGGTAACAAAGCCCTTGTAGCAGCAACTACACCCTGGGATGCCACTCTAGTCCTCCTTGGCTCAATCAAAGAAGCATTTTCCTGCCGGGCCAAATCCAGCGCAGCAAAGGAATTTTCAGTGGGAATTGCTCCACTCTGAATGGCAGGCGCTGATACTAATGGGGAGGCAATAACTGGTACATCACTAGCACACACTGATGTCAACTGTACCACTTGGATCTCTTTTTCTGGGCATGTTGCGCTTTGTGAGGCAGGAATCTGAATTTGTAATGTCTGAATATCGGAAGCAGAAACATCTGGATGCTTTTCAGCCTCATTTGAAGTTTTCTCATCTTTATTTTTCTTTGCAACAACTTTCCACTCTTGCTTTTGTACTGGTTTTACTTGTTTAGTACAGCTTTTACTGGTATGTCCCTCCTTCTTACAGATATCACATTTCACAGGCAGCCATGTGTATTCAAAAGGGATTTCTATGGACGATTTATCATCATCATCAACAAAAGCTGAATCAGGAAGATCATGAACCTTGTCAAGATCAACTTCTACACATACTTGTGCAAAGCTTAGCTGAATACGCTGTTCTGTATTTTTGTCTAGAGAAATAGGAACTCCAATTGCACTAGCAATATAACCCAGTCCTTGGGGAGTATACAAGGCCATGGGTACGTTCCACAGCTTAACCCAAATAGGTATCTTGGATGGCTTTACCTTTGTCAATTCTGTACCTGGTTGCCATTTTCTGAGATGCAGAGTCTTATGATTAACATGCCAAGGAACTTTTGATCTAAGAATCCACTCCCTTGTCGCAGGATCAGGTATTTTGAACAAAAATGTATTGCTACCCACCCCAGTGACTGAGATTTTACCCTTCTTTCCCCAGAGTTTATTCACAGTATGTACAATGTCTTCGTAATTTGGCGAAGAAAGACTCATGAAAGAACCCACCAAACAATCCTCCCAAGATTTGATTCCCTCATCATAGACAGAACAGGGAGGTTTCACAACTATCTTGCCATCGCGCAACTCAGGGGGGTGATAAGAAAGAGTACTTGAATCAAAATTATTGGCCACAACATCAGCCCAAGAAGTTGATACCGTCGGAGAAGCAGCTATCGGAGCACCAATCGAAGAAACAGTTGGTACCGCACTAGAGGAGGAAGGACCTAGGTTAGCCGTAGGAGAAGCCAAATTGCCTGTGACCGCTTTAACCTCGGCACTGAGCTTTGCACGAAGCATCTCCACGGATGGGGAAGATGCATCACCGTCTGAAACTGGATGGTGAACTAAAGTGAAATCAGAGCTTGCGGGTAACTGGATCGGGATCGAATTCCGGCGAGAACGCGCCATCGGAAAACTGGGTTGCGATAGTCAGAACGCGTTTTCTCTCTCTAGGCAGTTATCACCCTAGGAGAGAGAAAAAGATCTGTCCCTCTGTTTTCATATTATTTCTTCTTTCTTCTCTACTCTAAAGAATCATGGAACAATTGCCATTAGAGCGGAGACTGCAAATGCTTAAAAATTTCCTCTTGACGATTCACATTCATTGTATTAAAAAAGATTTTTCTATTGTATATTCTTCTTAAGGTACGTTAAAGGTGTATTAATTTCACATTTTTAATCATTAATTGTTATAAAGAAATTAAAAGTTGATTTAGTTTTATCAACCACCCATTAAAATTGTATACATGATATTAAAATTGAA